CCCCAAAACCCCAAAACCCCAAAACCCCAATATCCGTATCTAGCATTGAATGTATTATAGGTGTTGACTCCAACATAAATATTAGGCTCCATGTATATGTCTTAACCTAGGCCCAATCACTTAAAAGCTGGTGAAGCGATCCTTCCTGACCCTGGGGGACGTGCACCTGCTGATTCTGGAGTTGTCCCAATTCAGTCTCGTGTATAGCTTGAACACTTTAAGCCGAGAGTCCTGTTCACCAGCATCCTGTTCACCAGCATCCTGTTCACCAGCATCCTGTTCAATCGGCTGGGGACTCTTCCTGATTCTGAAAGGACTGACGAAGTTGGAGACAACAGGAGGCTGCCTTCTCACTAATGGAGACTTGGTAAGCTTGATTGCTTTGAATTCTATAGAAATTGTTATATCAATAATCGGCAAAGATTTGTCCATTTTTGCAAATTTAGAAATGGCTGCATTAAAATAATATTTCATTAGCAAATTTTCTTTGAAATTTCTTCAACTCAACCAGAAAAGGTAAATTTTTATAATAAGTCGAAAGATTTCACAATCTATTAAAAATTTCAAACTGTAGCTTCATCCAATCGGTTGGGCTCGTTGGAAATATTTATAACAAATTCCACTGAGAGGAATCACCATAAGCCATATTAATTTAGGGATGAATTAGTCACCTACTTTTTCAGGTTTTGACAATATCCAGAGGTCTCTTATGTTTCAGGAACCTCCTTCATGAAAAGCAACGCTTTTGAGTCACTCAGGTCTTTCACTTCTTGGTTACATAGTTCAGAAGGTTGTAGGCTTCGACCAAACCTAGAAGCGTGTTAAGGGTTGTCAGATTTGTCAATAATTTATCCCACTCGAGGGTAGTAAATTAGGAAAATGACTGCATACATAAATACTTCTGTTGCAGTACCCTCATTGCAAACTGATTAGAGTTAATAAGTTATCTAAGGAATTTATTTCTTTGAGCCTGCGCTTTGTCCAAGAAATGAGTTAAAAACCATGTTCTAAAGGGTAGCAATAGAGATTTTGAAAATTCGGATAAATGGACAAGGATTGTCTATCCAAAACGTTAGATACCCTCTGTGAGTAATGATATGTATTAAGTGCTGGTGCTAACTTTGCTATCTTCTAATCTCGATTACTTTTCTAGTGCTGGAAATATAACTTACCACTTTAAGAAATCCCGATTGTACGAATAATAACTCAACCTGACTTACTAGGTTTTATTTCTCTCATCTTTAGAGCTGTCTTTATTGGAGCCAAGTTAAGTTTCCTCGGATGTCTAAATCGAGTGTAAGAGCACAAACAACAGGGGCTGTATGAATGGATAATTACTTTGTGTCAGGATTTTTACTAATGTCACATGCTTTAAAAGACTCTTCGTCTCCAAAATATTGTCTGGGAACTTTGTCATTCACCACTGAAGCTCGATGTAACTGTTTGCGATGACTTAAGCTACTGGTGCGCATTTGAAATGAGTTCAAAGGAACTTGTAGACTGTGCATATTATACTTGAAAATTTCAATAAGATGTTAAATATGGGGTTTTGGGGTTTTGGGGTTTTGGGGTTTTGGGG